GTGTTCTTGTAAATAACTGGTGCGTGCGGTGTAATTACTAACTTTATTTGATAAGTTGCGTAGAATCACTTTCGGGTAGCGTGACGTCGTAGCAAGAGAGGTATGAGGAGTATCAGAGGTATGAGAGGTACGAGAGGTATGAGAGGTATGAGAGGTATGAGAGGTATGAGAGCGAGCGTCTCACTGCTGCTCTTTTTATATTATCCTGTTTGCCCCCGGCAAGGGCTCTGGACACCCCCTGTTTGGTTGACCCGCGAATGGGTTTTCCCAATCAGCGTTGTCCATCTCCTTCTCACCGCGTTGTCCCTTACGCCCTGAGCGCGTCCCGTTTTGGGACCGCGTGGTGATCGGAGTGGGTGCGTTTTTTTATGATGTAACGGCCTGGGTTTTCCTCAGGGCTGTTGCGCTCGGACTTCCGGCGTTCGGGTCCGTTTTGCGTGCCCTTCGGAATTCCCGCTTATTTATGACGGTCTCGTTGACTATCGAGAATCAGGTAAAAAAGAAACTCTACTGGCTTATTGCCATCCGAACAGGAAACAGCTTACTCAAAGATAGCCTTTTCGAAGGAGAGTCATAAATATGCTAGTCGTTTGCACGAGAAACAAATCTTTTCTTATGCGCGCCGACTGGCCGCTACAGACGTATCAAGTGTAGCACGGCTACAAATTTGTTACAAAGTGAAGCACGGCTTCGTAGGGGCGCAAGGGCGCAGAATAATACTGGTCTATATGCAATAACGTTGTCTACCAAAATCCCCCGTTATCAAATTTGCGGCAGTATATATAGACACCTGGCCGATGTTCAAGGAGAAGCATCGTCTGGTGTCGAAGGCCGGATCATTGCCTCCTTAGGCAAAAACACCGCGTATACATTTCGGCCGAGGCGAGCGTTTGACGGNCGGTGCCTCGATGTTGATCGGTCATCACGGGTCCGCGGACGTGTGAGCTCGCTGACGACGAGCTTGAATTCCTCCAGCAGGCCTCTCATCGCCTCTGTCGTCTCGGTCTGCGGGGCGGCTACGCTGGCCACGTGGGCTTGGGTTGTGCCCTCGTGTATCTGGTCCGCGATTTGCGCCAGCTTGTTTAGCGGGATGTCTGGCTGCGCACTTACGATCGCCCGGATCATGCTGGGTAGCCTGCCAGTCCATAATGTACCCAGAAATTTGTCCGGTACTGCCTGACCCGCCAGGTTCTGCATGTGCCGCAGAAATTGAGATGGTGTTCTGTCTCCCATCTCTTCTTTTTCCAGCAGCTGCTGGATTCGTCTCCCTTCGGACGCGGACAGGCGCCGGATTAGTTCGCTTTTTAGTGTCTCATACTTCTCGGTGGCCGGCGGTGACGTGATTATGTCCTGGACCTCTAGGGCATATTTTGGTTCCAGCTGAGACATCACGTAGTTGTATTTCGTTGTGTCCGCGGTGACGCCATTCAAAGCGAACTGGCCTTCTATCTGGTGGAACCAGATCGTCGGTTGTTCGGGCCAGAACGGTGGCACTCGTATGCCGACCCGGCACACCTCAGGTAACGCGGCGTTTCCCTGGCTCATACCTGCGTCCATTTCTGCCCTTATTTTACCGCGTGTCACTTGTGATTAACTTACCCGTCGTTTTTTAGTCGCACACTGCACAATTATCGCACGTCGAGTCACCAATTTAGGTATGAGTTGTGTTCTTGTGNCGAAAGTCGAACGTGCATTGACCCGCGGTCCGCGATTCGGCCGGAACAATTTCTTTTTTAAAGATATTAAATTAAATGATTCTTTAATCGCGCGCGCGCGCGAGGTATCCGTTCGGAAGACTCGCGATAGGGAATTCCACATTTGGGGGCATGTCTGAAATAATTATAAGAGAAAATAGAGTCTAGCCAGTGCAATATAAAGTTGATTAAGAGTGTTGCGTGAGAAAAGACGACCACGCGTGAATACTAAGTCGGTGTGCAGTAAAAGTCAGTAAAGCAGTGAAAGTGGCTGAAGAGCTGAGACGATGGTTCAAACCAAGGCAGTGGATAAGGGAAGTCAAAGAAGTGAACGCGAAGATTTAGACAAAACGATCGTCGAGAACGAGGCGCTAAGAAAACGATGTTCGGAGGAGAAGCAGGAAAGAAAAAGTGAAACTATCGAAGCTGTAAGATACACGCATAAACAGATCGATACAATGAAGCTCGCGGAATTAAGAGCAGCAGCAAAGAAACTAGGATTACAGTAATGTCTCTCTTCTCGGCGTAACTTCAGTATGCCAATTCTGACGCCGAGATTTTGCTACGGCCCTGTAATTTATTGATTTTCTTGCGGTCCTTTAATTTATCGATTTTCTCGCTATGCTAAGGTTCGATGGTGTCGGTGAACACGCATGCTACGGCACGTGCCGCGGCTTCTTTGACTCGAATTCTCGGAAGACAACTCATAATGCAATGACATAACTTTTTTAATTTTAACATTTTAACACTGATTTTTTTAAGCATATTACTGATAGTTTTCTGATTAAAATGAGACCAAACACGGTATAGTTTGGACAGATATTTCTGTTGATAAAATCAAAGATGATAGATGTTGCACGTAATTTACTGCCAAGATGCACGTGGTGTGCGGTGGAAAAGAATTTAGGCAAAGTTGTTGCCTTTACTGATGTTTATTTCACGTTCCCAAAAAATGTTATTTTCGCGTTAAATGCTGTAACAAATAATGTAAAAAAAATTAATTTGTAAATAATTCATATTGAAATTGGCTGCAAATTTTGATCATTGTATGAGTACAACGTATGTACTCACTTATTTAATTTTTCTTGCTCAAATAATATGATTTTAGTGTCTCCGTTATGTGTTGTACGAAAGCTGGCTCTCTTTCACCGTATGATGTCAACAATTCAAGGGCCGCATATAGTTTATTGTGGTTGTCTGGTTCATTTTCCAGTCCTTCTGCTTTTTCGTTCCCATTCTTTCTCTCTTCTTCTTCACAGTTTGTTAAAAATTGAGTGATGTGAGCCATGATGCTATTGTCCTCCTGTGATTGTGCTCATCATATCTGACCAATCAGTTTCAAGCTCTCCCATATTTGGTTCAATTGGAGGCTCAACAGGATTATTACTGTACAGTAATTTATTCCAAACATTTTTTATGTTTTCTATTGCAACTCCAAACCACGAATCAGAAAAAATGTCTATACAAGTTTTTAAAGTTTTTTTAATCACCATAAAATTCACATTTACTCCTTCATCATATGTTAAAATATGCCATCAAATTCATGTTGTGTTCTTTTTCGATGTTCGACCTCTTAACATTCCAGAGTTGATGGAAAATGTACAGAAAACAGTTCCTTTACTCCCTCCACGCTTAGGCTCGTCCTCAAAATGATGTCGCTTCTCCCGAGCCGACAAATTTTAAACTAGGAACTCTTCATTCTGGGCCCTCTTCGTTCTCTTCATTCTCTCATGCTTGTAAAGCCTTCTTATTCCCGGCGTCGAACGTAGATTCGAATAGCGTAACTTCGGTGATATTTTCTTTCGAAACACATATGTACATACCTTCTTTGATCTTGCCTTTAATATTTCATATGTTAAAAATCGGTGATTGTAATGCTTTTTTCGCAAATAAAATAAGTTACTTATTACGTGTAATAAATAATAATGGTATAAAGCATGTCGTGTTTGGTATCATTTTAATTGGAAGAATATGACTAATATATTAAAAACATTTTCATGTATAAAAAATTAGAAATAAAAAAGTTAAGTCATCGTTTCTATTCTATCATTACAATGTTGTACACCGGCTGTCTCCGATGCTGACCGCTGCCTATCTAAGTAGTTTCGCTCGACCCTAGTTTCGTTCTATCTCTCTCACGAGGTGTTGGCAATAATAAAGACGAGCCGCGAGGCTCGAAGAAATCAATTCGTGCGTACTACTCTTGACACCTCGGAGTTCGGTCCCGGCGGCAAATAGAGAGATTTTACTGTACCTAGCGCAGGCAATAAGCAAAAATTAAGAAATAACTTAAAGCATGCAATGGAAGGTAAAGAGGACGAGGATGGCGAGAAAGAAGACGGAAACAGCGAAGGAGAGTCCGAGCAGGAGACAAATGATGAACTACGAAACGACAGGCTGAGAAGCAACAAAAGAGGAGCGATCGATGCCATCACGAGGAGGACAGTCTATCTCATTTTAACGGAGATGACAAATTACCGATTGATAGTTGGATTAGCGACTTCGTAGATACGAGTGCATTGTTGGACTGGAACGAGTTGCCGAAATTTATCTACGGGAAATGTATGCTGAGAGAATCGGCAAAACAGTGTTCATCACCTTCGAAAAAAAAGTTAAATCGTGGAACAGTTTAAAGTATAGTTTAATTAAAGAATTTAAAACCGAGATAAATCCAGCAACGATTCGTTCGCAGTTATTCAAGCGCAGACAACAACCGATCGAAAGTAACACATTTATAGTATGCAAGAAATTGCGACTCAGGGCAATATCGAGGAAATAGCACTCGTTCAATACATACATCGCGGATGGACTTCAAGGCGAGCAACGCGATAAGGCCATATTGTATGGTTCACAAACGCTTCAGAATTAAAATAGGATATCGAAACATTTAATAAAATGAAAGAAGGTACCGGACAAAGTATGCGTAGTAGGAGAAATGAACAAAGAAGGGTAACGTCATCGCGAATGTTTGAGCATGTAGCTGTAAAAAAAGACCATTGTTACGGGTGCGGCTCAGTTGAGCACGACTGTCTTGATAAAGACAAAGGTTTAAAATGTTTTAGATGGAGCAGTGGTTTAAGGAAGAAATAATTAGACGGAGCATAAGCGAATATACAGTTAGTAACGAAAATATTCGGACACTAGAGTATTCATAGATTTATTGCTTTATATCTCATTTGTTTATGCATAAATCAATAAATTTTTTTATGTGATAAGTCACACATTTATTAATGTTATAAAATATATACACTTTATTAACGAATTTTATAAACATTATATTCTAATTAACAATAGCTAAAAACATTCGTCATTATCGCGTTACAAAAATATTTGGACACATTTGAAAAACCAGTGATTTTGAACGTGCTAGGTAATAATATAAATTGCTTTAATATTTCGTGACAAATCCTTTCGCTTTTAAGACGTGTCTTAATCGTTTCGGCATACTAGAAACAATTTTTTTCAAAAAATTTTAGTTATGGGGTGTGTTCTGGTAAATAATTGTTGCGTGCGGTGTAACTACTAACTTTATTGGACAAATCGTGTAGAGTCACTTCAGGCAGCGTACCGTCGTAGTAAGGGTAACGGCGTTGCGTGTACCACAAGCTTACAAGTTTTTTTTCGTCCGAGATATGAGAGCGAGCGTCTAACTACTGCTCTTTTTGTACTAGCCTATTTGTCCCCGGCAAGGGCGCTGGACACCTCCTGATTGGTTGACCCGCGAATGGGTTTTCCCAATCAGCGTAGTCCATTTCCTTCTCACCGCCTTGACCCTTACCGCCTTGGGACCGCGTGGTGATCGGAGTGGGTGCGTTTTTTATGATGTAACGGCCGGGATTTTCCTCAGGGCTGTTGCGCTCGGACGTCCGGCGTTCGGGTCCGTTTTGCGTGCCCTTCGGAATTTCCGGTTATTTATGACGGTCTCGTTGACTATCGAGAATCAGGTAAAAAACTCTACTGGCTTATTGCCATCTGGACAGAAAACAGCTCACTCAAAAATAGCCTTTTCGAAGGAGAGTCATAAATACGCTAGTCGTTTGCACGAGAAATAAATCTTTTTTATGTGCGCCGACTGGTCGCTACAAAATCATTTGTGGAATTTATGGGTGTTCTTCTTATTTTGCGATCTATTTCATTTCACAAATTCTCTATCGGATTAAGATCCGGGGACTGTGGAGGTGGGTGCATCACTTTTTGACAATTATACAACAAAAATTGTTGCACTACTTGGGCCATGTGGTTCGGATCATTATCCTGATAAAATTTCAAACTGTTTTTAGTCCCATTTTGGTAGCACTTGATATGAAATTATTCTTTAATACATTTAAATATTTATTTTTGTCCATGATGCAGTCAATAAAAACTAATTTGCCCACGCCAACTACTTGAAAAAACAACTCCAAACGAAAACACTACTTTCACCATGTTTAAAAGTCGCTCGCTAATTTTTCACTTTTAGCTCACTATTCGCTTTTCTCCAGACCGTTACTCGTCTATCTGATTGAGATACATTAAATTTACTTGCGTCTGCAGACAAATCCTTTAGCAAATCGGACTCGTTTCTTCCTATTCATTTCATTGATGAAATGCCCGCTGCCTGCGGGCAACACACTCATTATAACATTTCTTTTAACAGACTCGGATAGCTTTGGGATGCACATCTTTTTGCATTTCCTGAGACATCTCGGCAGCCAATTTTGGAGCACTCGCGGAAGGATCTGCTTTAACTTTTCGTAGAATTCGTATTGTCTCTCTATTGTTGAGAATCCTTGGCGGTCCGGGTTGTGGAATTGACTCAATACGATCTTCATTATTGAATCTTGGTATGATATCAGCGACTGTGCTTTTACTTACATTCATTAT